TCACACCTGCTTCAGTGGGCTGCCAGTTGTGTGTTGCAGGGTGATAATGGCTGCTGGTGGAATACTGCTAACACAGTACGTTACACAGTGCAAGAGGAGAAACAAGGAGCATTGGTAAAGGCTAAGTCTCTTGGCAGGTTTAGATGCCTGGAGGGACGTGGTTCAAGCCCTCCGGCCTCAGCCACAGCCTCACTGAGTCTCCCTATATGATGAGCCTTGCTGTTCTCCTGGTCCGTCTGAGTATTCAGCTGGAGTGTGTCTGTGTCCTGTGCAGGTTTGGCTATCCTGATCCAGACTACCTGAAGAGAGTGAAGGAGGAACTCAAGGACAAAGGAGTCCAGTAAGGAGAGAGGAGATCAGACAGCAGTACAGAAAACAGACCGATGGCCTGAGGCAACAGTACACCTGCAGTAATGAGAAAACTAGTTTTATTCGGCCAATGCTTCTGCCAGCTCCTGTGGGTACCTCCTGTCCAGATAAAGTTGTGCAGCAGGAGAGAGGTGGAGCTGCACTGGCAGAGTTTCCTCCATGAACAATCCCCTGGCTCAACCATCGAGGGTCTGGCTGTGTGCTGTTGTGGGGGTTCAGGTGTGTGTGAGGTCAGCTCTGCTCTTTGCTTTTTTTCCTGGCAACCCAGCATCAGTGCTACTTTACTGTGCAAAATAAAAAAAATCTTTCACATGTCATCAGAGCTCTTTCACTGTGAAAAGTTATCGATGTAGGTTAGTGTCCTGTCTTCCTCTTGTGTGAGTGTGAGGATTGGACACAGCCAGCTGTGGAGTCGGTCCTCATGTTGTTCACTGCACTGCTCAGATTATACTTAGAGTTTGTATATTGAGTTAATAGCAGAAGTCACACAGGAATAAAACCTTTCCTTTTACATGTGTCATATATAGATTGCAGAAACCACAACAGGACTTCCTTCAGACTGCAGAAAGGTTCAACTTTATTTTCTCAGTAATGACCGTTCGTGCTCCAGGTGAGGTCAGAGATTAAAAGCATCGTCGCTGTGCGAGGATGCAGGCTGGGGCCTGCAGTGGGCTCAGTGCACACAGTGCCCCTGTGCGCCCCGCCCCCCTCCCGTTAGAAAAGCCCTTTGCTCTTCTTGAGGCAGAGCTGTTTCCAGTGGGGCAGACCGTCAAACTCGTCCCGGGAGATTCCCATGACAGCGACAAAGTCCTCATCCGAGAGGTGCTTCTGCGGAGAGAGGAGAGGGAGGCGAGAGCTCAGTGGCAGGGTGTTGGGGTGGCAGGGTGTTGGGGTGTAGGGTAGTCGGAGTGTCAGGGTGTTGGGGTGGCACAGTGTGGGGGTGTCGGAATGTAGGGGTGTTGGGGTGGCATAGTGTGGGAGTGTGGGAGTGTAGGGGTGTTGGGGTGTCGGATTGTGGGGGTGTTGGAGTGTGGGGGTGTTGGGGTGTCGGATTGTGGGGGTGTTGGAGTGTGGGGGTGTTGGGGTGTCGGAGTGTCAGGGTGTGGGGGTGTGGGAAAGCTCTATCTGATTGCTTGCTGCTGCCCCGAGCCTGCAGTCCCAGAGCAGGACCCTTGAGCGGTGACTCAGAACTGGAGGCAGGCAGTTCCTGACTCAGCTCTGCCCAGGCTTACTTTACTGGAGTCCTCTAAGTCAGGGGTCAGGGATTAGAGACGGGGCCTAGGGCTTAGGAAGAGGGCTTGGGGACTGGGACAAGGGTCAGGGGTCAGGGAGAGGGCTCAGGGACAGGGGGGGGGTCAGGGACAGGGAGAGGGGTCAGGGGTCACAGTCGGGGGCAGAGGGGGTACAGTTGCGCCCTACCTCCTTCAAGGCGGGGTCCACGCCCTCCGGCAGCTCATGCGCCTGTTTGTTGAGCAGCTCCTTGGGAGAGAATTTCTCGTAAGACTTGGGGGCCTCATCTGGGGCCGCAGAGCTTCCGTTCAGATCCTGGGGGGTGCACAGAAGAGACCACTTACTTCCCAGAGTCCAGCTCCCTTCGGCCCATTCATCTCAATGCTCTCCGGTGATCTGTTTTAGTTTCCATGTTTCTCCCTCACTATGTGAATTAGGGATGGCACGCTGGGGTCGGCGCTGGGGCCCTGGGTCCTGTCTGCGTGGAGTTTGTATGGGTCTCCTCCACATGCTCCTGTTTCCTCACACAGTAGTGGTGGGGTTAATTGGTTTCTGGGAAAGCCCGTGTGTGAGTGTGTGTGTCTGTGTCATTGTGTGCCCTGCGATGGACTGGCATCCTGACCAGATTGTACCCCCAGTTGTGCCCGTTGCTTGCCAGGATAAGCTCCAGCTCTCCCACAACCCTGAATCGGCTGAAGTGGTTAGAAAATGGAGGGATGGGTCTGTAAATAAAGAGCTGACTGGCAGACTTGATGACCTGTCCTACAGCGAAATCTGGGTGAACTGCTGTTTCTCACCACCAGAAGGCGCTGTGACCACACTCCCCTGCCTCCCAGTGTGTTTTACACTGACGATGTGCTCTGTTGACGTCAATCGCCCCTCACTGAGGACACCCTGCTGCTAGACCTGCATCTTCCTTACCGCCGCAAGCCTGGTGAAAGAGGCAGCGTCGCCCAGCTCCTTCTTCAGCTCCTCATAGGTCTTTCCTCCCTGTGAGGGAAACAGCAGCTGAGGAGTTAAACAGCCGTGGCGGGCAGGAGAGCCGGAGACAGGAGATGAAGCAGAGCAGTAAAGACAGGGTCTTGGGGGCACTCACACTCCACTTGTTGGGGTCCCAGGCGGTGAACCAGCCAGTGAAGGTTGGAGGCTCGAAACCCTGCTTGATGAGTAGGATGGGGGTGTCAGGGTCACGCCCCCCAGGGTGAGTGAGCAGGTACTCCTGACATGTGACCACCGCCTGCTCACGCTCAGTCTTGTTCGCCGAGTTGCCCACCCAGAGGAACACCTGTGCGGGGCACCCAGACACACATCACTGCTGCTGACACCAGCACATCACAGCACAGACACACACATCACAGCACAGACACACACATCGCAGACACACATCACAGCACAGACACACACACATCACAG